TCATGTGGGTCCCCACCATATGCCCCACAAACCTCTTGACTCTATAGCCACAGATCTAACTCCAAGCTCATCCAGAAAACCCTCTTTAAATCTCAGTCTGAATGTGGATTTAGCCTTGAAGGAAAAGCTGTCACGCACTGGAGGGTCACAGCCAGGAAGGAACTACTGCTCACTTTCCTTTCTCAAACAGATTAGGCACGGTCAGTACATCTCTGCCTGCCAGGCTCTCTCCTGTTCACCCTGTGCCTCCCCCTCCTTCCTTCCCACTCACCAGATTTCTCTCTCCACAATTCCCAATCCCCACTGGCACCATCATTTCAACTTCACAGCTAGTGGGACCTGGTCCTGGTCAAAGCAACTGGCCCAGGAAAGCCTCCTTTTTGGATCTGATGGCTTGCCAAGGCAGCAGCTCCCTTCTGGCTGGTTATTAAATGTTCCCCTTGGGTTGCTCTTGTTTGTTTGTTTTCCCAGTGCCAGATTGCAGAGCAGAGGGCAAAGCAAGGCAGAGCCAGTAAATGTGACAAAACACTTCTATGTTAACATTATGGAGCAAGATTTACTGTTTCCCCTTGCCTCAAAACTTGATTTCTCAAGAGAACTGCTACAGCCCAGCACACAGCAGCCTCCAAAGGCACCTGCACCCCATGGCCCTCCTATTCTGCCTTTGTTCCACTGGTGGGGAATGAAACAGAGCTTCCCACACAACTGGGCTGTGCAGCACTTGCTATGGAGCCATGCTCCTTCCCTCTTTTAGAGGGGCTTTCCAGGAAGAGAAGTGCTGCAGTGCTCCAAAACACAAACCACCTGGGCCCTGCCAAGCAGGCCTGCCAGAACTTGCATCTCTCTCACCAAGATCTGCCTGCTGCACCTCTCGGGAGTGCTTTGTTTGAATGGGACAGGCTCTAACAGCTCCAATGCACCAAACAGACTCCCTGTGCAAACAGGGCAGCAGGAGAGGGATGGCTCCATCACAGCCAGGGCAGGGTGGCACTCCTCTTGCAGGGAGAGCTGGCAGAAGGCCAGTGGCTTTCTCCCTGCAGCTGGAATTGCGAGAGTGAAGGAAAGCAAAGCATCCCCATGCACACCCCACACGTGAGGCACTCAGGAGCTCTTATGGCCTCTGTCCCTTGGTGTGGAGTGGCATGGCTTCCTACAGGAAGGAATATAATGAAAGCTGAGAGTGGAAGAAAGCTACAGCCAAGATGTCAAATGAGGACTCAGGGTTTGCAACAGGCTGGTAGCAGCAACACTGCCCAGAGCAGGTTTTTGGTGGCTGGTGGTGTGGACTCCCCACACTCCGGCCTTCACCACCCTGCCTGGCTTCCATTCAGCTGCCAGCATAGCCCAGGCAGCGGCACAGCCTGGGCAGGGAAGTTAAAAGCCCGGTTCAAGGTTAGAACAAGAGAGCAAGGCGGTTCCCTGAGTGGGAAACGGCATTTTTCAAAGAGAGAGCTGGTGGGCGGGTCAGATAGAGAGGAGTCCGGACCCTCCCGCAATCTGTTGAACAAATATTTGTTCCAAACAATTAATTTAGAGACAGACACAAAAAAATTGAAGAGTCTGAATCGTGATGGTTGGGGGTGGGGAAGAGAGGGAGGAGGTGTTTGATTCCCCACAAGCAGGGACCAGTGATTTTCCACCAGTGATTTAATCTAAATCCCCCAGAGAGTTCATTTACAAAAAATCAGATTGCATTATCGCCTAGGTCTCCAGGATACAGCCCAATCCGTCACTAACAGCAACAGCCACACTAGCTTGGAAACCCCAGTTTGATCACTTAATTCCAAAACTAATCTGTGGCTCTAAAAGCCAAAAGCAGAGGGAGGGGGAAGGAACTCTGTATTTGGCCAGGGTTATCTGCAGGATGAGAGAGCTAATGGGCCACATACAGGCAGATGAAATGGCCAGCAGATCCTGGGCTATTAATCGAAACCAAGCTCCTCTCCTTGCCTGAGCAGCCCCACCCAGGCAGTGCCCCAGGGAGGTCACATTCCTGGAATTTTTTCACTCTTCCTGAACCGGCTCCCTCTCTCTGGGTACATCAGCTCCCCTTCTTCTCCGGGGTACCCAGCATTGCTGGCCAGGCACTGGGAGCTGGGGAGAACCTCCTCTCTGCAAGGAGGGTGCAGAGCACAACGTTGGGCTCAAAGGCTCCTGTCCCCTTCCAAAATGCTAGGCTCTGCCAATGGATTGCGAGCTGAAGGGGCCGAGAGGCCTCAGCTCCCAGCAAGGAGGCAATTCCCCACTGTTTAGATGCCAATGCCTGACAGCATGAACTCTTTCCAGTGGGAACCGGTAAAGGTTACAGCAGCAGGGAATCAGTAAGATGCAGAAGCCAAATGAAAACTCAGACATCTGTAGGTCATATACCTCCCGCCGGCAGTCCCAGGCTGCACCGCACAGCCGGACCCGGCATTTCAAGAATGCTTCCTGAAGAAATGCTTATTCATGTTAATACCTCACCACTGAGAGCTCCCAGGGTTTGCTGCTGGGGCAGCTGGGAGCACTGCTCCCTGCCAAGGGAAAAGCAGCTGCAGGCTTAGCAGCTCCCCAGCACAGAGGTTGCCTCCACCTTGGCCCTGGCTCCCACCACACCAGCTCAGACAGTCCCAGAAGCCCACCCACCCACAGAGATCTGCTGTGGGATTCACTTCACCATGAGCAAGGCAAAAGCTGTTTCCAGAATGAAGAAGTAGCTGCTACCTCTGCAAACCACCAGCCAGCCCACCACAACACTGCCTTGGAGAGGAGGAAGCTCGACTCCCTGCTATTAATGACACTGGGAACATGCCCCAGAACCAGGGCTCTCCTTGAAGAACAAGCTTGGATGACATTAGATTTCCAAAGGCTCTTGGAAAAACAGGTCTTTTACATAACGTCCAGAGAGGAGAAAAAGCAGGGATGGAGAAAGATGTGTCTGAGCACGGTGGGCTGACCCTCTTGGAACAGTGTTTAGAGCACAGAAGGAAAGACCACACACCCTTTTATCCTCCCTGCAAGGGGTAGGACAAGCTCTAGCACAAACATTGCAGGGAGCTGCCGGTTTGACCGGCCCCACTGCCAGCCTGGAGCGAGGGAGGGCACGGGCAGCCACCCCAGCACACAGAGGTGTTCTTACCCATCCGCCATTCTCCTGGATCCAGGGGTCTAAGTGGTCGGTCAAGTACGTGGTCATCCAAGACACGATGCGTTTCACCAATACCCTCATCTCCTTAACAACGCTCTCCACGCACAAGGCTCCTCCGAAGGAGAAGAAAGCCACGATGCGGCCCCAGTTCACTCCATCGCGGAACAGTTCGTTCACTACCTGCTCAAAGCTCTGATACGCCGTGCTGGGAGTGATGTGGAGCTGGGAAGTGAGGTCGCTGAACGCCCGCCGGTACCTCAGCTCAAACTCATCCCCCGCCTCTCTCAGCGCCTGCCTCACGTCGGCCGCTCGACGGATCTCGTGGACTTCGAGGCTGCTCTGGTGCACGGTGGCACCGTTCACTATGTGGCTGGTGGCTGCGTGCCAGGAGGGGCTCCCGTTGAGGACCCCGTCCATCTCGTCCTCCTCCCCTGCAAAGTCAGTCCTGTTCTCATCCTCCTCCTCCAGCTGACTCCAGCTGTATCCTTTCTGTGAGAGCTTGTAGGAAACAAAGTCAATCACTAACTCCCGGTTACTGCTGTACATTTTCACACCTGGGACGCCCTCAATGAGTCCATGGTCCGGAGCACAAGCAGATCAGCACTTAGCAGGTCCCGACTCTGCTCCTCTTCCTCGCGACCGATGGAAGCATCTGACCTTAGCACAGAGGAGGAGAGAGGCACCGAAACGGTTAATGCCACAGCTCTTAGATGCACCCGCGCCATTACCACCGATAGCTTATCGTTATACTGAGATCACCCCGCAGCTCTACGCCGAGGCTCAGGGCCACCAGATTGAAGCCGCACAGAGAACCGACCACAACACCCCCTCCCCCGGAAAGCAGCCTCGAGCCCCGGGGACCCCCAGGCTCGTTCCGAGCAGACCCCAGATCTCACCGGGTGCGGGCTGCGCCTAGCAGGCCGGCTGCGGGCCGGGGCGGAGGCGGTTCTTGTTCTGCTGGAGCTTCGGGTCGGCCCGGAACGCGACAGCACCGCCCCCGCCTCGCCCCGCCCGTTAAAGGGCCCGGCGCCTCCGCCCCCTCCGCCGGCGTTACCCAACGGCTGCGGCGGCGGCAGCGGACGGGCTGCGCTACCGAGGGATCACGGCAGCCCCAGGGTGGCCCGGTTTGACGGTAACCGCAGCCCCCGCCGCCCCGAAGCTCCTCGCTCCCCGCAGGCGGAGAGGATAAACCACTGAAACCGGCGAGCGCTCGTCACCGCGGGAGCCGCCGCACGGCCCCGCGTCCTTACGGCAGCGATTCCAGTCACGGTTAGCGGCGCGCTGCCGCTGTGGCCGGGACGGTGACACGCTGGGCAGCGGCAGGCGGGAGCGCCGCAGGGGGTAGCCGGTCCTCCTGGCCACCGGACTGCACCCCCAATCACGGGGCCGCTTCCCCCAGACCCCCGAACCACCCCCCCCAAGCACCGGATCGCCCCCCCCAGGTCCCCGGACGGCCCCGCCGGTCGCCGTACCTGGGGGGCGGGGCCGCGCACGAGGGCCGACACAGCGCCCGCGCGGCCGACACGCCAGCCAATCAGCGGCCAGGAGGGGCGGGGCCCAGCTGCGACCTCTCCCTTTGGCTGAGCCGCCCGTCACTCAAGGTTTACCCTACCCCGCCCCTCACCTCAGCGCTCGACTGAGGGTCCGCGTCCTTCCCGGCTCTGCCGCGCGGGCCCGGCTGGCAGCAACGCCGGAGGTCGCCGGGTGCCCCAACGGGCCTCGGCCCGCTCAGCAGTCCCGGGATTCCTTCCACATCACCCGCCGAGCGGCCGGGGGGGTGCGGTAGGGTGGGAGGGGGCAGGAAGGGGGCGGTGCGCATGCGCACGGCGCCTCGAGGCTGGGCGAGGAGCGTCGGTTGGACTGCGCGGGGGCACGGAGCGCACGCGCCGTGCCGGCGGGGCTGGTGCGCAGGCGCGAAGGTGCCGGGAGGAGGGCGGAGTACGGGCGCCCCCTGCCGGCCATGGCGGGGTCAGCTCGGGCCTCTGTTCTCACCGCGCCCTGCGGGCACAGCCCTGCCACTGACACGACCGCAAACCCCTCACAGCAGTCTGGTACTAACGTGGGGTGTTGTGTGTCTCCATAGTGCGCAGGGAGCCCGTGGCGGAGTGTGAAGGGAGGTTTATGCGGGTAGTGCCGGAGCACAGAAAGCGACTGTGGCAGCCGAGCCCCGGCGTTAACAGCTGGCTGCCCATTCCTCTGCAAGGCCGCGGGGAAGATTATGCAGCACTTGGGGTCGATAACGCCACTGCGCAAAGGGCACTTTCTCCTCACAGCATCGAGGAACCTAGCCGGTCTTACCAGGCGGTGTAAGCCGCCTTCCCCGGGCCCAGCAGTCAGAAGGGCTGATCTGCTGAGAAGCAGCGGGTGGAAGCCGGGCAGCGGACACTGATAGAGCTGCAGTACCAGAGCCCGGCTCCAGTCCGGCCCCATGCCCGCACTGGCTGACACTGGCTCTGGGGATCCGTCCACCAGCCACTGATAGGCCGCCTGAAACGACATTCAAAGAATTGCCTTTTCTGATTGGTCTATTTTGTCCCGCAGTGCATTATGAGAGTTGTGGTTCGGTTCCTGCCCGCTCATTGTGCACTGTGCACGCACTTACTACATTTCCCGCCAGGCGTTGCAGGGAGAGCGCGACTGCATTGCTCGGCGTCTGCTTATCCGGGTCCTCAAGCGGTCCGGCCAATCAGCGCGCCTCAAAGGGCGTGTGCCAGGCGGTGATTGGTGGGTTCGGACTGGCGAGCCCTGTTTGAAATCCGTTAACGGCGGCGGCAGGGGCGCCGCGCGGAGTGGCGGCGGCGCTGCTGAGGTGAGTGCGGGGCCACCGGTCGGACACCCCCGGCCTCACCCCTCTTTCCCCGATCCGTAGCCCTTCCCTATATCTGGTCGTTCGCTTCGGCTGTGGCGATGCGGCTATTCCCCAGGCCTGCTCCGAGCCCAGGTATTGATAACGGGGCCTCGGCTGGGAAACGGAGGCGGAAGGTGGGCTCTGGCCGCTCAGCCCGTGGCTGGAGCCGCCCGCGGCGCCTGGCGGGCGGGCTCGGAACGGAGCCCTGGGGACTGACTGCGAAGCCCTCGTTCCCCGGGGAAGCCGAGCCCGGAGCCCGCGGCCGGTAACGGGAGGAGCCGCCGTGGCGGGGGGGTTCCCGGTACTGGAGCGCTACGCGTGTGCCTTACGGTGGGGTGGGTGCCTCGGCAGTGAAATAAAGCTTTAAGTCTTTAAACCATCACGAAATCTGATGAAACCCTATATTTCACGACGGAAAGCTCTGTAACTTCTTCTCAGTCCAAATCTCGCTTCCCAGGAAAAGGAGGGAAGCGAACCGGGCAAAACCTGGCCCAAGTAACAAAAAAAAAAAAAAAAAAAAGCATTAGGGGAGCTATTTTTATGCGGGGCTTTTTTTAAGCTAGAGGACCTTCAACTTAATGTAACAATTAGTTGAGGCTGTGCTAGCTAAAAATAATTTTATTTTCCTTGAACATCTATTCTTAGAATGTCCCATCTTCATGTCTTCTGAAACTTGTGGGATCTTTTTTAGGGAGCATAAGATGTCAGGGCTGTTTATTTTTGGGAATGGGGGCGGGTCTGGGCCGTTAGCACAGCAAGGGCTGTGCCAGAGCTTTTCCCCTGCCCTGGCTGCCGCTCGGGGTGGTCTGCGGAGCTTTCTGCGGGCTCAGCTCTCACCTGGGGGTAGTTGAAGGCTTTGTCTCCCAGTTTGAGCATCAAATGATGGAACAGAAGCATTTTGGGGGATGGTGAATTCGTTGTTGATTCTGTGCTGCAGAAAAGCCTAGTTAAACTTTGAGTAAGGGGCACTTTGAGAGAGGAGGGAGAAGCTGTAGATCCAGAGCACTGGAAGTGTTCACTTAACCCTGCTCGGGGAAATGCAAGGATGAAAGGTGACTTTCTGAGGCTGCCAGTGTCATGCAGGGGGAGTTCAGGTGATGGCTTTGTGGTGGGATGGTTCTCAGCAGGCTGTTGTGACAGGACTGCAGCTTCAGAGATGCTCTAACTTATGTATTAACCCCTTTCTAATGCTCCAACTTACATGTTAACCCCTGAAAAGCATCCAGCACCTTCAGATTATTATCCCAATAAAAAGAACAGAGAACTCTGGGTTGCAGGGCAATGAAGAAGCTGCCAGGTGGAATTAAAGCTGCCTGGTTAGTGGAGCATCCTGTGTTTAAGTGGCAGCTGGGGTTGAAGCCCAGCAGAAGGCCCTGGAATTGCTGGAGCACATTCCCATGCAGCTGCCTCAGCCTTGGGGAAGCTTCTCTTGCTTATTCCTGGTTGCCTGTCTTGGGTTCTGAGGCGTGTGGATCAGCTGGCTTTGTGTTTATCTGCTGGTGTAACTTAGAGTAGTCTCTTGTGTGTCTGTTGTTGTTTATTGGGCTTTCTGACCCTGGTAGGATTTGCCATAAGTAACATTTGTAACTTGTGAAGCTGCAGTGGTGTGTTGTGATAAGGCATTATCTCCAGCTCACCAGGGCCTTAGCTACATTGCAGAAAGTGCAGATCTCTCTGCCTTCCTCAGGATCCAGACTGGTTTGGGTTGGAAGGGACCTTAAAACTCATCTTGTTCCAAGCCCCCATCACCATTCTGGGCAGAGACACCTTCCAGTGGACCAGCCCTGTCCAACCTGGCCTTCAACACTTCCAGGGATGGGGCAGCCACAGCTTCTCTGTGGGCAGCCCTTGCCAGAGCATTACCACCCTTACAGGGAAGATTTTCTGCCTAATATCCAATCTAAATCTCTCCTCTTTTAGTTTGAAGCCATTCCCACTTGTCCTATCACAATCTTTCTGTGTCCCTATCCTGTCCTTGCTACTCTCCCACACTCCTCCATTTTCTCTCACTCTGTCCTTGATTTCTCATCTTGGAATGCTGCATCCTATCTCCAACACCACGACCTAAATGGCTGGGAGGATTCTTTGTCCAGGCAAATCGTGCTGTTGGCACAAAATTCCCAACTACATTAAGGCAAAGACACTGAACACATCTGTGATGGAATTGTGTCAGAATTTTAAAGCTAATTTGGATTAGAGAGAGGTGTGAAGTTATTCCAAAATACCTATTGCACTTGCTGTTGGATCAGTCTTATTCTGGGATAGGAGTGCTTGTTCCAACTTAGTGTAATCCTTTTTCAAAGCTAACTAATCTAAACCATGCCAAGGCACTCTTCTGGAACGTGCCAAAGTGTAGTTACTCAAAAGAAACCTGATGTCCAGAGGAACCCACTGCCCGTTCCTCCCTGTGGATACAGCTGTGCTGCTCTGGAGGCACATTTAGGTCAGTGAGAGAGCAGACCTAGAAAGCAAATGAAGCTTTTAATTAAGTTAAGAAATTGGGGGGGGGTCTTTTTGCAGGAGAGAAGATCAGATCCCCCTTTCCTGCCTGGGCAGCTCTGCAAAGCAGGTGAAAGCTGATCCTGCAGAAGGGGGGTGAGGGTTCCCCTGGCTGGCTGCAGACACCCGCGTCGACACGGGAGGTGATGGATGTGGGGGAGAGCAGGGTCATGCTTTAAATCCACGCCGAGCTGTGTAGGATTACAGCGTGCCTGTAATCACGCCTGGGAAATGCACACGCTGCCTGCTAATTAGGGAACGTCCCTATTAATGAGGGAAAATTTCCACGCCTCCCTTCCGGTGGATGAATGCTGCGGTGGAGAGAAAGAATTTTGGATGGAGATAAATGTGGTTGTGCTGTCAGAATCATGATGGGGTGTTTTAAAATGCCTGCAGGGAGTGGGCTGTGCTTGGCAGAGCCTGTTGGGTTTGCAGATGCCTGGTGGTGGGCACAGGAGTGATAAATCACCGGAGCATTCCTGGCTGATCCCTGTCCCAGCCTGAGTCGGTGGGTGGAGGAGCAGGATGCCTCTCATGAGCTGCTGCTTCACCATCAGTCCTGTTCCAGGCAGGACTTAGAGGATATGTAGGGATTTGAGAAGCACATGCCATGAGTTCATCTGACTGAAATGGACTTTCTGGAGTTCAGTCACAATAACTTTTATCTCCCTGTTGTCTCTTTCAAGAAACAGAGTATGAAACAGGCAGTGATACAATCCTTTTCCTGATTATTCTCTTCTGTCTGGGATAGAGGGGAGAGAGAAGGGGTCAGCAATGAGGTCGGTGATGAGGGTGGTGACACTATGGAATATGGGCTCCACTCAGTAAAAAGCTGCAAACTGCAGCAATGTAGCAGTGGGCACAAGTAGCTGTGAAACATGATGCCCAGAGCTCTGACTCTGACTGGAGAGGGTGAGGGGAGAATGCAGATGACGCATTTGATTTTTAAAAAAGTCTAAAGTGTTGACAGAAATTCTATCTTGATTAAGGGCAGTAGGAAAGCATTTGATTCCAGCCGAGTCTCGAGCTCAGTTACAGTTGGTTTTGGCTCTAATTCTTGTGTTTGCCTTCTTTGGGCCCTACCTTGACATCTTCCCAACCATGTAGCTGGTGCTTCTCTAATGACGTTCTTGCCTTTAACTATCACAGCTCTGCTCTGGGGAGCTGGAGGCTTCTCAGTGCACCCACAGTGTTTGTGACCAGCATGGTACCCCCTAAACACTGCTTTGCTGTACTCTTGACCATTTTCTTATTTATTGAGGAACACCATCTGGGTTTTGAACCATGTGTGGTCGGCCTAGACAGGTGGCTGAGGGCTGAGGCTCTGTGGGTTAGGAATATGCTGCTTTGGAATTGCTTGGATTCATAAAAGAAAAGTTCAGGTGATTTCCTTGGAGAGTGTTTAATAACATCCTTGTGGGCTTTGCCTCACAGCTGTTTAAGGCATCACAAAAGCACCTTTGCAAGAAGGTTTTGTATAATTTCAGGGTTTATAACTTTGTCACTGGCTTTATTCCTGTTCCGTTGAGTTTAATATCACCTGTTGACACAGGGACTCCTCTTGCTGTCAGTGCTTCATTAATTAACTGCAGGCACTGTTTGACATGGGTCACAGTGCTCAGTTTGTTTATAGCCTGGCCAGCCTTGGGCTAGTGCTAAGGAATGCAAGAGGGCTTGACACTGCCCTCCTTCTGACTGTTTGCCCAGTTACAGTGTTCTAGAGAACCCTCTTCCTGCTTTGAAAATCAATTTATTATACTGAAGAGCACCTTTGTATTGTTAGCACTTTTTTCTAGCCCTTCAGAGAGAGAGGCTGTGCATTACAGTGCTCTGGAGTGTATCATCAGATTTGTAAATCTTGTAAGGGTAAGAACTCTTCTTTGTGTGTGGTGAGGGAAGGAAGTGGTAATCAATCACTTTCTGGAAAAGCTTTATACTTTATTCCTTAAAAAATACAATTCTGGCACCCACAGGTCCAGAAAAAATCCCATCAAAACTTGATCTTTCTGATAGTTTTGTACCTGCAAATGTCAACAGTGGTGAAATATCCTTAGCTTTGCAGATCAGCAGTAGGATAAAACTCTGCATTGCTTATGAGGAGTTCTGCCCAAAGGTGTGAAGTGCAAGAAGGGGGGATGTCCCAATGCCTGTCCCTAGCACTCTGCAGAGGAAAAGAGGTGGGGGATGATTCCACTGATTCCCTGTTGTTGTCTAAAGGGCTGTAGCAGTGCAGACAGAGGACTCTTGGGGACAGTGTGACTGTGAAGATGTCTAAGCCAGAATCCCGTTATTCTTTTGATGTCCCAAACATCTGCATTGATTTTGCAACTCTGAATGAGGATGATGTGCACAATGCAGACTCCTGGTTTGGTAAGTTGCTTCCAACCCCTTGAAGTGTTCCTTGTTGGGTGACACCTTGGTGTGATCCTTGTTTTAGGCCTGGCTTCTGTGCCAATTAATCATGATGTTAACTGCTTAATTCATCGTGCATGGGGTTTCTTTTGTTCTGTTTTTTTGTATTTAAATTTTGTCATCTGTAACTTGCCTTTGTTAACCTCATAATGATATTCTGGGGTATTGTTAACAATTCCTAACAGTCTGTATAGTGAAAGTCTTTCTCCCCTTACAGATGAAAAAGCCAATCTGGAGAATGTCCCTCCTGCAGAAAATCTGGCAAAGGTCTCACACTGCAGCCCTGCTTTTTCAAAGCCTGATGTTATTCTGTCTTCTGTCCCATCACAAGAAGTAGCAATGAGTAAGCTGGCATGGTGTGGCAGGGAGGGAATAAATTTTACCTGCTTTTCACTGACAAAATGGAAAGGCCTCTGTCTGGCTTTTGTGGGGCCATCTTCATAAACTCTTATCTACAAGGTCTCCTGTGGTTTTACTTGTTGTTGTTCTGTACATGTGTATATAGATGAGCTGACACTTGCCCCTTTCTCAGGTGAAAACGATGGTGAAGCAGAATGTGCCCAGGGCAACACAGTCCCTCAGAATATCATTGGGTCCCTGGCAACCTGGAGAGCTGCTGCCCCTGCAGAGGCCCCTCAGAGGTGAAATATTTGTGTTCAGTTTGTACAGTGATTGATGATGGTGTCACTAAGCAGGTCCTTGCTCTCAGGATCTGCAGTTCTAAGCTGTTCTTGGGACATCCTGTGGGGCTGGAGTTCTCCAAGATGGAGATGGTGCATTGGGACATCTGATCTGCTGGCTAAGCTGGAGGGGCAGTCTCTAGGGTGGAAATGTAATGCAGTGTCTCACATACTTGTCAAATGAGACTCAGCAGCACCAGGAGCTTCTCTTCTGGAATGTGTGGATATCTGAAACTGAGGTGGCTTATAAAGTTTCTTTGTTTATATCTGCCTGACTTGGGCAGAACTCATTCTTGATATGAATGCAAGGGGCTCTGCATGCTCATATATAGCAAGGAATATTTAGTTTATGGATTGTTAAACTTTAATAAATCATACTGTCTTTGGATTGTTGTGTCAAACACAATTTGTGTGGTGGAGTTAGGGGATGCACTGGCATAAATGTGTTATCCAGGTCAGGTGTGTACTCAGATCTGTGGGAAAACTGACTTCTGCTTTCTGTTCTACTCTAGACCAGGCAGGAGACTGGCTGCAAAGCAGGGGAAGACCCAGCAGCGCAAGCAGCCAGGCAGAATCAAAGCAGAGAGAATTGCTAATGCCCTGGATAATAAGGAAGATGTTCCACCCTTGAAGAAAATGAGACTGTATGTCATCCAAGTCCTTCTGTTTAGGGCTGGGAAAAGGGCTACAACTATTTCTTTGGAAAGGGTTTTTGCCTGTCTGAGATGGTTCTTACAGGAAAGTTAGGGGGTAGTGGCTGGAACTGGTTGCTGATATTGATTTCATGAACAAGAAGTGGCTGTAAATACTGAAGGAATTGCTCTGTTTGGAGATGGACATGTGAATTAAATAAGCATGGGCTTCTTCACCTTCTTACTCAGTGTCTGTCAGCTTTAAATTTGTCTGAACTTATCCATCCAGAAATCATCAGGCAGTCATTAGCTATGAACAAGTCACAGCCAAAATATTTCTCAAATTAACTTAACCACTAAAGTATCAAATGGTGATAAGCTTGAGGTCAGGAAATTGAAGTGTGATCTTTGAAACACTGCTGTATCTCAGTGATCTACAGTGTACCTCCCTTCTCCAGAAAAGTTCCAAAAACTCAGTAATTCATCTTCCCTTCTGCAGCCTTAGAGTACCAGAGAAAGCTGGATGGTCCATACCTGGGCCTGGGGTGAGGTAAGGCCAGCCTGGCATACCTTAGACCTCACCAGGTGTTGGGATGTTATGCATGGTGGTGAGAGCTGCAGGTAGTAACTTATTTAGAACACAGTTAATTGAAGGGGTTTGCCCTAACAACTTTTTCTCTTAGTTCTGGTAGCAGAGAGAAGGTGACAGAAACGTCCACAAAGAAAGAGCCCCTGCAGGATCCTGACCTCTCTCCAGGGAGAGGGAAAAGCAAACAGACCATGCCCTCCACGCCAACAATGTTGAAGTACGTGGCTTTCTTGTGACTAGTGTGCTAATCACAGTTGATTTAGGTGACAGTCCTGGCTGTGTGTTTTCAGCTTCAACTTAGCATGTGATGGTATCACATTTAGTAAACACTGGGTCAAGGCAACAGTATTAGGATGAAATGTACTTCACTGGCTGAACCACTGCACAGAAAAGCTTTTGCTTTTCTTTTGAGGAAAAAGTTGTTCTTCCTAATGGGTTGAGAATGCACACAGCAAATGGGTCTGCAGAATAGCAGCTGGCTGTGAGATTTCTTGAACAAACAAAACCCAAACAGATCTCTTTTTATAACTGGTGATGCTCCTACAGTGAGGCTGGACATAAGCATATTCCTTGCACAAACATCATGCTAATAACCAGGGAAGCAGAAAGGCATATCTTAGTTTTTAATGTCTTTATGCAGGAGGACCAAACCTTCTAGCAAGGCAAAGAGTACAGAGGAGCAGGAGCTGGAAAAGATGCAGCAGTTGCAGCAGGAGGTTATGGAGCTGCGGAAGAAGAACGAGGAGTCTCTGAAAGCAGCTATTGCTGGAGCAGGTGGGCTCTGCCTGAATTGCTGAATGAAGCTGCATTGGGCTCAGCTGGAGAGTGCTGCACAGAGCTGTGCAAGTACCTTTGAAAACAAGCATTTCAGACTTTGCAATAACTATTAGGAGCCATTTAATGTAGATCAGCCCCTAAACTGCCTGGAAACAGGTGGGTTTGGATTATGTCATGTTTTGAAATGTTAAAGATGAGTTCTCTAAAAATTTACCTAGTTGTTAGAAATTAAATGCTTTTTTTATTTCTACAAATTGTACCCCACAGCAAAAGTCTTCCAGTCCTTACATGTTCTTTTTCTCTAGGACAACCCGTGAAGAAACCTGTTGGTCAAGTAACAAAGCCAATTAATTTCCACTTCTGCACAGAGGATAGAATTAAACAGAATGCAGAAAGCCAGCCTGGGAACGAGTACAAGGAGCTGGATTTTGCAGCAGTCCTGAGGAAGCATCCCCCTTCTCCGGTGAGAGCCAGAGTGTTGCCAGCACTCAGCTCACTGATTCTTGCCATCACCTCCCTGCTGCTTGTGCAATGCTTGGGCTGATACCCACAGAGAGGTTACCACAGGAGGCAGGTGTTGTGCAAATGTAACTGCAGACTTCCTGTGTCTCTGTGTTGCCACAAGACTCCAAAGAAACCTTGTGGAAAAAGGAGCCCTTTAATGTCAGATCTTCCAGTCATTCCACTTTGTGCTTTAATCTGCTCAATAGAGTTTCCCAATGTAACTTGTGCATTTTCTGACTGTTAACACTTGTGCTTAATGTGAGGTGAGGTGTTCTTTGCAGTGAGAGGAAGGGACAGATACTGTGCATCAGTGGGGAAAGGAAATGTCATCAAAACCTCCTGGCCAATACTGACTGTGGTTTTCTGTCTCCAGGTGCGAATGCCAAAGGGGCACACTGTCCCCAAACCTTTCAATCTGTCCCAGGGAAACAAAAGAAAACATGAAGAACCCACAACAGAATATGTGTCATTTGCTGAGCAGGTAGAAGCATTCCAAAAGCGCACACCCCCTCGTTACCATTTGAGGAGCAGGAAATCTGAGGAAGGTGAGTTGTCCTGGCTGTGTCCAGAGCAAGAGATGCTTTGACTACTCTGAGCAAATGGCCTGTGATTGTTGCAGGCCTTGCCATTAACTGCTGGTCTCTGTGATTTGAATTTATAGGCTCAGTTTCAAAAAAGCCAGTGAAGGCTGGGCCCACACACCCCAAAACACCAGTGCTGCGAACGAAGCAGCGCTCGAGACCTGTCACCTGCAAAACTGCTGCAGAGTTAGAAGCAGAGGAAATAGAGAAAATTCAACAGTAAGTAAGGGCTTACCCTAGTCCTCCAGGGAATGATTGAGATTCCTTTAGGTTGTTCATAATTCTTTAGCTCTGATTGTAGGGGAGTGAAATATAAACAATTCATTTTGAAGAACGTGCTCTTAGGAGAGCTGATCTTGGGTTGAGTACAGTTTATGATGAGTAAAGCAAACCCAATATAGCAATGCAGCCTGCATGCACCTCAAAACTTGCCTGTAGGCAAAGGTTTGGATTTCTAGGAAAACAATCCATAAGATTTTCCTTATTAATCTTGCTGTTTTGAAGGCAAAGGAAGAATTGCTAACTGTAGCTGCACACTAACATACAATGTATAACTGGTGACTGTCTCCGTTGTTCCTGCATAGGTACAAATTCAAAGCACGAGAAGTCAATCACAAAATCTTTGAGGGTGGGCCACTCCTGCCCAAGAAACCCCCTGTGAAGAAGCTCACCCAACCTATTGGCTTTCAGCTGGAAATAGAAAAAAGGATTCAGGAGCGTGAGAGTAAGAAGCAGCAGGAGGAAGAGCGCTTCGAATTCCATTCCAGGCCATGTCCCACAAAAATCCTGGAGGATGTTGTGGTAAGAAGTTTAATAATACCCAGGCTTGGGAATTGGTGGCAATGAGCTTCAAACTGTTTCTAGCTATGTTGCATTATGTGTTTAATGATCTCAGTAAACAGTGTCTGTCATTAGGTAAGAACCACAGTAGGTACATCCTGTGCTGTCAGGTTGTTTCTCTGAGGCGTTTTCTTGGCACTTGGCCTTGGGTAACTCCTTACTGGCTTTTCTGAACAGGGTGTTCCAGAGAAGAAAGCACTTCCTATTACAGTCGCCAAGTCTCCAGCCTTTACCTTGAGAAGCAGGACCCGTGTGTCTGGCAGAGAGGAGGAAAAGGTAAAGTTGTGACAAGGCTGGAGCCAGGCCCAGCTCTCACTGCAGTGCCTGCTGTGCCTCTGGATGTGGGTGGGATGCTCTGGGGCTGGAAGGCCCTTCCTTCCCTCCTGTGAGCAGTTCCTCCAGTGGTTACCTTTGCCTGTACCATTCACTTGAAACAATCTGGTTATTGCTACTCATTTTACAGAAACTAAATTCTCATTAAAAAATGAAATAATTTAAATGCTAGGGCACTGATGAGGGTTTCTGAGGTGTTGCTGCTATAAATGAGGAAGGTGAACTGCTTAGATTTCTCATCCTTCCCTATTCTGTCACTGAAGGCAAATATTACACATGACCTTTCTTCTCCCTGAGGTGGGGAGCAGGATTCTGAAAGCTTCACATCCTTCTTCCTTTCCTTCTTGTCAAGAGGATATTAAATAATTACAGTCTAATTTGAATGAGTACTAGAATGGAGAGTGGTTTCATAAAAGGAAGAATTGGGCCTGTGGTTCAGGATGCCAGTAAATTGGTACTTCTTGGATTCCTAATTTTTGCAGTGTCCACTGTTTGTGTGACCCTGCTGTGCCCCTTATCAAAGGAGCTCATTCAAAACTCTTTGTGGCTTTGCTTGGCAGGAGTTGCAGCCTATACAAAAGTAAAAAATCAGATCCTAATGCTGATATCCCTTTAGGAAAAGGAGGAGGTGGCTGTGATCAAAGCTAATCCTATGCCACATTATGGGGTTCCCTTCAAACCCAAAATGCCAGAGCAGAGGCACGTGGAAGTTTGCCCCTTCTCTTTCGATGCCCGGGACAGAGAGCGACAAATACAAAAAGAGAAAAAAATAGAAGAACTACAGAAGGAAGAGGTAAGAAACAAAAGCTACCTTGGATTCTACTCCTTCAGTAAAAAGAGTGTGATAGGATTTGCTGTTGTCTATTAAACCTCTGGGGAAAGGACAAGAAATATTTTGAGTTGTTTATTTCAGGTGCCAAAGTTCAAAGCGCTGCCTCTGCCTTACTTTGACCAAGTTAAACTGCCAGAAAAGAAGGTCAAAACTGCAACTCAGCCTGAGCCATTCCATCTGCAGGTGGATGAACGGGGAGCTGCCAAACTCCAGAGCTGGAAACAGCAGGTAGGATGAAAAGGGTAATGGGAATGACCAGACCTAAATCAACTGGAGTTGTGGTTGATTAGAGAAACTGTCCTCCTTGAAATGAATCAGTAGCTGAGTTGGAATTTTTCTGTACTTGGCATGAGACTTGTGCTATTGGGTTAAGGATTGGTCAATGGTTTGTTTTTATTTTTCTCACTTAGTGGTAAATTATGGGATTTACCACAATTGTATGAACAGCTGTGGGGCATTTTCTAAGCACCAGCTCTGTACAGCTGAATCTCTTTGCTGACTATCTCCAGGAATTTATTGTCACATAAATAATATACTTCTTTTCTCATGTGAAGTCTGCAGTGGACACCTGAAACTTTCTTCAGGCTATTTTTTGGCAAAGCAACTGTCAGGCAACAAGTGACACCGATTTTTGGCTTTAGTATAATTTTGTATGGAAATTATTTGACTAAGTCAGCATGGCTTTTCCAGTGTAGGGAGTGCTGGAGTCTGGGTCAGGAGGAGATGGTCTCTTTCTGCCTCCACTTGATGTGCTCTCTTTTCTTGCAGCTTGAAGAGGACTTGAAAAGGCAGAAAGAGGCAGCATGTTTTAAAGCTCGTCCCAACACAGTGGTTTACCAGGAGCCTTTTGTGCCCAAAAAGGAACATAGGATGCTATCAGGTGGAGTTGCAAGTACTTGCTGCACGGGTGTGGCTGATAGCTCAGAACTGAGGCAATTAAGTCATGTTTTTTTCTGGCTGTTGCCTCTTCTTCATCAGCACAGCCGATAGAGTCTTGCATTTAATCAACTAATTGCCTAACAGCTTGTGTCCCCTGGGAGCAGGGGGATTTCCTCTCCACCCCCCTGTCCTGCTCCAGCATGGCAGCTGTATTTAGAAGCTCTGCTGCAATTGGCAGATGATTGATGTGTGCCAGCTCAGGATAAGGGTACTGAGAATGTGAGGAGCTCCCTGCAGAGACAGCTGGCATTTCTGCAGCGCTGTCACTCTTTCCCTCCCGTTTCTAGTGAGATGAAGGCATTTACTGCTTGGGTAGGCTGAGATTTGTAGAGCATAAAACCAGCCAAAAGCTTGTTTGTACTAACAATTGTGTGCTTGCTCCCTCCCATGAGAACACCCATGATGGGGTGACGTCTGCATTAACACTGCTCACGTCTGGGAGTAAAGTTTTCTCTTTTCCTGAAGCCTGGAGGTATCTCCTAACCACCCTTGCCAAGGGGAAGCTCTCCAAAGGGAGGCTTCCATTGACATTAGTGCTGCTCTGCTTTACCTGACTGTCTTTGAACCAATGTTATCTCCTCTATTTCTAAACTTAGAGAGCCTTTCTGGTTCTGTAGTTCCTGAAAGCTTTGAGCTGGCAACAGAAAGAAGAGCAAGAGAACGGCAAGAATTTGAAAAGCGATTGGCAGACGCAGAAGCCTTAAAGGAGAGGTATGAGGAGCAGATCAGGCAGGAACAAGAGGAGCGTGAAAAGGAAGAAGTTGCTAAGCTAAGACAAGAAATGGTAAGTGAGCTGTTTGTGAGCAAGGGCTATAAAGTAACCCAAAGGAATGTGGGAATATCCTTATGGAGCTAATGTCACAGTTGAACTGTGCTAAAACTGCCTTTTCAAGGTTCCCTTTTGCAAATTGATGACTCACTAACTTCACAACTGGTTTAAAAAAACCAAACCTACAAAACGATGCAAACAAAGAAGGCAGCTGTGCTGAGATGGCTGAGTTTTGGAGCTGCACATGTGTAGTTATCAAAGCAGAATGATCTTAGTAAAACCCACAACCCCAGCATGTGCTGTGCATTTTCCCACTACCTCACTCCAGTGCCCAGGGTGGTGTGGTGGTCTCAGGCAGATGCTTACCTTCACTTCATCCACAGCTCACCTGCAAATTTCAGCTTCATCATAACTGCAACCATTTGCTTTGTTTTGCCCTTGCTTATATTTATTTTTCCACAGGTTCACAAGGCAAACCCAATACGCAAATACCGCAGCCTGGAAGTGAAGTCCAGTCATCAACCACTGACTGTGCCAAAGTCTCCCAACTTCTCAGACAGATTCCGATGCTGATGAGCATCCACATCCATGTGACAACTGCTGGGAGATCCCATCCCTCTCCACTCCCTTGGTAGGGAGAGAGGGAGCAATTGTTTTTCCATGACTGCTCAGTCTGAACTCCTATGCTTGGTTTCATTGTTGTACTGAGTAGTTAAACTCCACCTGAACTTGTGGCATTTCAGCAGTGCCTCCTGGCCTTGCTGTGTATACAGACCCCATCTTCTCTAGAGACTAAACCAGGTTTTGATATTGCATACAGATATTTTATACCTAACTAAATAAAAATTCCTAATCCGCTCGCTGTCTCTGGCTAGTGGGCTGAAGCCCTTTCCTGCAGAAGAGTTTTTGATAAAGACTGGCCACACAGATGTGTGCATCTGGCACAGCTGTCTTATGTTTTTACACTAAGTGCTATTTTCAAGTGTCTTGTTTTTTAGCATTTTAGTCTACATTTAGCTTGAATTGTGTTAAGTGAGGTTCCTTCAAGCCAGTGTAGCGCGGGTCTGGCCTTCCTTGTTGATGTTTAGATGACCACAAATATAAATCTTGCCCACGCTTAAAAGTAATTCTTTGTGTAAATTAGAGTATTAAACCATCTTGCTGTTTTATAGCTGAAGCCCTGTTTGGGGAGCCATTTATCTGGCAAGTGACTTGCTGTGAGCTGCTGCCCCAGCTTCTGGTAGTGCAGGTCTCTTGGCTACAGAGCCATCAGCATCTCTGGCTAGTTTGGGCAGCGAGCAGAACTAAACAGCCCAAGTGCTCAATTGTGTTGGAGGACAAAACTGCTGGCATTATGAAGAGTGGACACATCTAGATTAAAGTTTTAATAATTATTTCTTACTTAATATTGTGCTCTGATTTCTTACTTTTATATTTTGCTGAAATACCTGCTCACACCCATGAGCAGGGCTGCTTGCCACTGTTGTGCTGCTTAGTAGAGGGGGAGAAATGGAAATTTAGAATTAATTTGTCCTAACCGGACAAACTTATTTGGTGGTTATGGAAAACATTTGCTTTCATTTCTTCTGAACTGGGATACTGTTGAAGAAGTATTCCCAGAATGTGTAGCTTTTTGTTCAGATTTTTGGGTAAAAAAGAGAGTCCCAACTAGGTGTTAGATTCCACCTTAAGGAGGTGCTTAGAGATGCTGTCTCGCTCTTGCCAAAGTACATCAAGGAATTGCTATTTTATCCTAGATTGAGAGAGATAGCAGTGGAAGAAAGTCCTTAGAGACCTAAATGCCAAGATGAATGTTTATTGGACCTGAGAGATGATGTTTCTGCAGGAATTCTCCTAAAAAGTGGGATGCCCAAGAGAAGTCATTGCAGAACAGCTGGGGTCTCTATGGGAATGTTTTCAAGAGTACCAGCCTCAAACTTCCGTGCTGGGATTAAAAGAGGAAAAGCCACCCACACTGAAATACAAGGATTCTTCAAAAAAATTAAAGGTTTTATGTAGCTAGAACTGAGGAGCTGGAGAATGAGAGCCTTGGGGAAGTACTGAAAGGATTAATGACCCCATGGCAGTGTGGGTTCTTGGAATTGGTGAGCTCAGACATGGCTCCATTTTGCTCAAGTTTCAGCTTTTCCTTCCCTTCTCTTGAGGATCTTTGTGTAGCTGTGGCAGAGGTTGGCCCAAAAGTTTGATCTAATTACCCAGTCTGCCTTCAGCCACATTTTTCTGACTTTGCTGATAGCCCTGTGTCACTGAGCTGAGAGTTACAGGACAGCCAGAAAAACTGCTGTCACTGCTGCTGTCACAATTTGCAGGGTGGCTGGAGCACAAGGGACATGTCCGCATCCTCTTCTTGAAAATGAAAATCCATGTGGATCTGACCTGTCTGCCTTAACCCCATTTCTGTCATGGTGGGGCTGTTCCCTGTGATCTGCTACTGGCTGGGGACATCACAGAACCTCAGATGTTTTTTCCTCGAGTGCCAGCTCTGGAGAAGGCAGCGTGTGGGCAGCAGAAGCAGCAAATATTTATGATGAGTCAGGAGGAAGCTGGAATGATGATGAGCTGCTGAAGAATGTGAAGGCAAGCAGGATCATGAGGCCGTGGAACTGGAGCAGCCACTAAGCCCTGAAGGATGAAGCAGCTGGATTTCCCTGATGGCCCTACATGGCCTCTTCTGCCTTGAGGAAGGGGTTGTGTGCCTGACAGCTTGGCAGTGTTTTTTCCCCAATGGTATCATTTGGGTCTAATAAAAGACATTACATCTTCCCCCAGACATGGGCTCTTGTATTCCCCACTGCAAACAGGGGCAGGAGCCTCAGGCAGCTGTGCCTCCAAGGCTCTGGGGTGTTTGTATGGGCTTGGAGTCACCCACCAAGTTCTCACGGGCTGGGATGTGGGACCTGTTCTCTTAATTAGGGGGGAAGTGGTGACATGGTGGGAAAACTGCTCGAGTGTACAAAGTATAAAAATCATGTCCTGAAGGAGCTGAAGGATGTTGGAGAGGATGGGATTTGGCCAATGCTTCAGCAGGAAAAGGGTGGCAGGTGATTTTTCTGCTGGAGAGAACAAATTTACAGGATGGGAGCAACAGGCTGGGATTTAACTAAGTGCTGTTGCAACACCTCCCTTTAGAGTCAGGGTAGGTTGAGAAACTGATGTGAAATCTATATTCTCTGTGTGGATTTTGCAAACACATTTTTGTATTCCAGTACTCAAAGGTCATCACCCTTACGTGCATGCCCTTGAGAGCAAGGATTGGGAGGAGGAGAGAGGAGATTGGGCACAAAATCTTCCTCTGCTCTTCTACTTGGGCTGTACTCAATTTGTTATCAAAATAATTTCCTGAACACAGACTAGAGCTGGAATTTAAAGGCAGCCAATGTTTTCCTGGACTTCCATGTTGATTGCAAGATCAAATTATCTGGTGAATAAATTCTTATGAAAAGGCTTGATGATGCTCTCAGATCACAGCTTTGCTTCTCCCTTCTGTCTCCACTGGGAAACCTTTGCAGCTGCTTGTGTGACCTGGCCTGAACCTGTCAATTCCTGGGTCTGGGCAGGTCCTGGTGCTGCTTCTGGCGGCCACATCACTGGATGCTCTGTTGATGATGTTGGGGTTTTTCCTTGTCTTTCCCCATCACCTTGCTGACACCTGTCATGACACGATGGTGGAAGCCCTGGTTCTGATGGAAGCAGTGAAGCCAGATAACCCGGCGGGTTTGTGTTTCAGCAGCATGGCTGGGATTCAGGTGGGGATGTTGTTCAGCCTTCCCTGCCGCTCGATTTAGCAGGGGTGTCGGGTTTCCCGGGAATGGGCTGGCTTTGGCCCCGCAGAGCCTCCCTTCCCAGGGTAAACGTAAAGGTTAAAGTGTGCTGCCGCAGTTGTGACAACGGCGTCGCCAGGGAACAGCGTGCTTGAGGCGCTGCCAGAAAGCCCCAGGACAGGCTGTTTCCCAGCTGCAGCCAATGTAGGCTCTGGCTTGAGTTCCTGAATGGGAAGGGAGAAAAAAAAAACCCCAAGCCCAGGCTGAGAAGCCTGGGTGGTGGCTGGTTTGTAGAGCCCCAGGGCACTGTGTTGCTCCTTGGGCATGTGGTTTTGGGCCAAGGCATCTGAAATCCTGGGATGGAACTGCCCTTCAATTCTACAATTTCTTCTTCCCAAAGGTCTGATTTCAGCTTATTTCTCTCTGCCCACAGATGAATTTTATCTGTGGTAATGCCAAACCATGGTCCCCCATTGCCTCTGGGAAACCATGGCTCCCCAGTACCCCTGCCCAGGGCTTTGCTTCCTCACCTTGTGCCAGGGATTTGTGCCCAGACCAGCCTTGCTTCCAGGGAGCGTGGAAGATTGCAAGCATCCCAGAAAGGCTGGCTGGTGTCCAGCTGCTTGCTCCTGCTCTCCTTGGAGAATTTTATCCCAGTGTCCACCACACCAAGAGCTCCAAGGGGGCTGTGGGGCATGGTTCTGGCTCATGCCTGGGCATGGATGTGCTTCTTCCACCTTGGGCTTGCCAGGGGGGTGCAGAGCCAAAGGCTGGCGGAGTGGTGGCAGTATGTGCCTGAAGTGACACTGGTGGCCTCCAGGTGCCTGGCAGCCCAGCTGGAGGAGGAGAGAGGCAATTCCAAACTGTATGTTGGCGATGACAGTCGATGGGCAGAGGCCCTGCTGGCCAGGCACAGCATCTGGCCAGTATTGCTGACTGTGGCCCTACAGAGGCCAAGGTGGGGGACTCCCACTCATCACAGGAGTGGTGGCTGAGCCAGGGCTGGGCAGTGTGTGGGTCATTGTCACCAAGAACTGTGGCTGCTGGTGGTGCTCCAACCTCTGCTTGTACCCAACTGCATCAACACGTCAGTGAGCTGGAGCTGTGTGCCTGCTCCTGCATTATCCCTGCTGGGGCTCATCACATTCCAAGTCCTGCCATGGGTTTCAGGAAAGGAGCTGAAGCCACAAATCCCAGCTGTGAAGGCTGGAGTGGGACAGCTCCACATCTGCTCAGGAGTCCCTGGCTGTGTCCACTGAGCAAGTGTTGCTCTTGCATTGAGCTGTTGATGGTGGGTGCCCCAGGCCAGGGCAGGGACAGGTGGGACAGCAGCACCTCAAGGACAGGAACAGCTGTGCTCCCATCCTGGCTTTTCTCAGTTTCAATGCCACATGTGAACCACTGGCAAAGTCTGACCCCAGGCTGTGGCACACAGATGCTGGTGGCTCAATGGGAGCTGGGATTTGCCAATGTGGAGCAGCAGCACTGCCTGAGCAGTGTTGGTCCTCCTGAAAGGTGCTGCAGGCAGTTTGACCACTGCCCTTGGAGGGCTGCTGCTGCTTGTTGGTAGCATTGATTCAGCTCCATCGTGGATGGCACTGGCCAGGGCAGCCTCCCCACCTCCTTTGCTGCTGTAGCCTCCAGCCCTGCCACAGGTAAGGTCTAAACTAAGGAGAAATAAAAGCAAGGCTTAAACAGCCAGGTTTGGTGTCTGGCAGGACCTGAGCTTTGTGTGGCTGTGGGCTGGGGAGCTGGGAGGCAGGACCAGGCTGGCAGCTGGCAGGGGCTGAGGCTGGAGGGGCTCAAGGTAACCTCAGCCTCCCCGGGGGCACCTGGCCAGCCTGGGCCTGGGGAGAGTCACACTCCTCCAGCAAATGCCAGGATTCAGCCCCACACAATGCCTGAGGTGTGTCCTGGGGTGCAGCACCCCAGAAAGAGCTGGCAATGCCTGTGCAGCGCCCATACACACAGCCCAACCCCTCTGGAGCCTCCAGCTCCTCCGTTTCTTTCCCTGATTCTCAAAACACTTGATTTTGCAGAAAGTAAATCTTTCCACTGGTTCCTGGGGAAGGCTGCAGCCACTGGCCAGTGCTCAGTTCCCAGCTGCTGTCACCTTCATCAAGGCCCAGTGGCAGTGCCCGGAGGTGCCACATCATCCCCACAGAGCCCAGGGTCCTTTGGAACCGCTCTCCCAAGGGGCCAGTGCCAGTGGGCAGAGCTGGCCAGAGCTCACCAGCACAGGGACCAGCACCATCACCAGCTGCTCCTGCCACCATCCCCATGGGCTGGCCAGTGGCCACCTTGTGTCACCTGTGGGCACCTTGGAGGGCCTTAGCCACCTGAATCCTGTCCAGCTCACCCAGGCCACCCCCATGGGATGGTTTTGGGTACCACTGTGTCCAGTGCCAGCCCTCCCTATGGTGCTGTGCTGGAGCAGGAGGCAAGTCCGTCCCTGCCCCCTGCCCGGTGTCTGCGTGTCCCCATCCCACGGGGGACAGGCGAGAGTGGCGTGTCCTTTGAACGGGCTCCAGCAGGAACAGGTGCTGGGAAAGGCGCAGTGGGCCGGCTCCCGCCGCTGTAAGGGATCCTCCTCTGCCCCGCTAATCCGGCTCCGTTACAGCCGGCATAGAAGAGGCTGCTCCCCCCGGCGCTGCCACAGTGCGGATGCTGCCCCGCTGACCGCCCGCCCGCTGCACCGGGACCCAGGTAACGGGGCCGGGGGGGTCTGCACGGCTTTTGATCTGGGGTGTGGTGATGGGGGGTCCTGCGGACAGCAGAGCCCCCAGCCCTGGCAAGAACACCTCCATCCCCACGGGATTCCCGTGCTGAGCTGTGGGATGTGGGAGCGCTCTCACAGGGACTGCTCCGCTACTCCTCTTGCTCCAGCAGAGCAGAAGCAACTTCCCTGTCACTGGGGTGGTCGCTGCTGGGTTTGTTCTGGGGCTGGGCTGTCCTGGGCTCTGCACGGCTGCACAGGAACATGTTTTGGGACAGAGTGAGCAGAGATGACCGGGCACAGGAGGGCAGGGGAGCCCAGGGCAGAACAGCCCAGGGGATTTGGGGATCAGGGGCTGGGCTGGAGGCCAGTGCAGGTACAGGCACCAACAGGTCCCCTTGGTGGAGCTGGTTACCCCTGGGCTGGGGCACGAGCAGCGCTGGCGGCTGCTGGGTGCGGGTGAGCAGATGGGGTTTGCCTGCATGGCTGGAGCTCCTGTGTGCGTCAGGGGGAGCAATGGTGGGGCCGTGCCGGGAATGCTCATCTCTCCTGATCCCCACTGCCAGCCCGGGGCCAGAGCCGCTGTCTCCTGCCCTGCCACGGTGGGATGTGGCCTTAAATTGTCACCCTGGCCGCGCCGCGCTGGCTGTTCGCACGTCGGAGGCCGCAGGCACCCGGTGACAGGTGCCGGGGTCAGGCCATCGATCAGTCACCGCGGGCAGATATCGGGGCACAATGGGACGGTGCCGGCTCTGGTGGCCACGTGGGGTCCCTGGCTCGGTGCCACCGGGCCGGGAGCCGCCGGCGGAGCGGCGGGGACACAGTTCCCGCTGCATGGCAGCAGCTCATCCCTGCAGCAGCTCATCCCTGCAGCAGCTCATCCCTGCAGCAGCAGAGCTCTGCCGGGTCCTGCCGTCCCCTCTGCAGGGTGTCGGGTCCGGCGAGCCCTCAGCTGCCGCTTTCTACCCCGCAGGAGCCTCGCCGAGCCGGGAGCACCGCAGGGCAGCCGCCTCTGCCTGGAGTGTCCCATGGAGCAGGGTGGAGGCACCGGCGGGGCTGGAGGGGCAGCAGCCCCCGAACCCGAGGGCAGCGCAGCGCCCGGAGCTCCCCAGGCTGCCCAGCCCCAAACGGGGACAGCGGCAGCCGCCACCGTGACACAGGACACCCGCACGGATGGGCCTGGGCAGGAGAAGGCTGGAGGAGGGACGGCAGAGCCGGAGCAGGAGGCAGCTCTGGCTGCTCCAGAGCTCCGGGATGGACAGGAGGCAGCTTCAGGAGAGGAGGATTCGGCTG